GGGGGTGGTAACAGCTTTCCTACCCTAAAAACGCTAGCATTTTAAATAATTTTGGTGCTAGATGTACCAGAGAACGTTAAAGTACATATAGGCTTACTGAAAGTTTTCGCAAATGACGTGCGCCTGACTTTAGTGAACTTTTTCTAATTGCGTAGTTTTTTTTACGGTTTGGTATAAGGTATTACGAATGTATAAACTTGTGTTTGTATCAAGTTGGGGTTTTTCTAGTTTCCGAAATGTTTATAAGGCTTTCGTAAAAAACTATCGAATTTTTCCATGATGTTTTGCAGAGAAACTTCACAGCTGCAACCTCCTCCCCCCACCCCCCACCCCCAACCCAATCCCAAACGTCTATATGGCGTTTCTCGTGGCCAAAATCAATATTTGAGGCTAATTCCCCTACTCTAGTGGAGTACTGTTCAAAATTCGACAAAAACGTGTTGTGGATGTTTAAACTTAAGGGACGGTCATTAAATATGGCAAGAGAGGGGGATGGAGGAGAAAGTAGGGGGTCCTGAATTATTTTTTCATTGAGATGGGGGGGGGTCTTGAAAATTACATTATGTGAAAGAGGGAGGGTCTTCGGATTTTTCCCAACAAAAGGATTGTTTCTCGTTATATACTATGAACAGGCAAAAGAGATGCATAAAATACCCTTTAAACTGGAACACTGGGTTGAGTACGTATATAGTGTTCGTATCGGTTTGTATCATATTGAGTAAGTATATAGTGTTCAGTGGATGTAGGCGAGACAAGCATAGGCCATAGAGTAACCTACCTAAATAGATTGTAAAATATTTATTTAACTAGTTTCATCAAATTTTATACCTTGCTCTCCTAAGCTTTGTCCTAATCGGGCCAGCAATCAATAGAAAACTATACTTTCAAGCGGTACAAGAGGGGGGGGGGTCTTTAAAACGTATAAAATGCATAAGGGGGGGGGGCTTGAAAAGGCATATAATTTTTGATAGGGGCACCAAAATATTTTTCAAAATTTCTAGTTTCTCCTCCATCCACCACCCCCCTCCCCCCCTTGCCATATTTAATGACCGGTCCCTAAGCACTTTTTTCGAAACATAAAGATAAAGCGAAAGTGGGAATTAAACGAAGTGGGAATTCTTGGCACCCAAATCATAACCAAAAATCTATGGAGTAATGTACTGGGAAGGCAATTACTACAGATATATGACCAATGAACCTCAAAGCTATTTCCTGCATATTTCCCGATGGTCATATTTCTATTGACGTATATAGTTGTTTTCAACTTTTTCACTTTTCACCTCTTCGTAGTTCCAAAAAATATCCCTAAACAAATACAAACGCTAAAAGCGTCATATGTGACCAGATGCCTCATTAGCTCAGTGGTTAAAGCACTGGTCTTGTAAACCAGGGGTCCGGAGTTCAATTCTCTGATGGGGCTTGTAGCAATATACGTATAATATTTAGATTTTTAGGAATAAAATCAAAACCGTGATTTTCCATGAAAAAATTACAATCCATAAATTTGAAGATGCATGTTTTTAAAATAAAAAAATCAGAATTCCTGAATTTAGACACCTGCAAAGGATTGTAGAATTTATGTTTAACTAATTTGTAGCTGAATAAATTATTATCCCTTATCCACTGTGAACTAACCTCTAAAAGTTGCTAAATTAAAGACAACTAATTTGAATTGGGCAAAAATACATCAGGAGAAAATTCCACGGTTTGATAGCATGGAAAAGTTTGCGAAACCAATGTTCGATATGCCTCATTAGCTCGGGGGATAGAGCACTGGTCTAGTAAACCAGGGGTCCAGAGTTCAAATCTCTGATGAGGCTACATTTTTAAAGCGAACTGAAAGAAGGAGTTTGGAATTTTATTATCGCTAATAATACTTCTGCGGCCTCAGTACAGTATAGCTAAATCCCAACAATTTTCTAAATTTCAAGTCTGAGCCTCATGAGACTGGATTCGAACTTATACGACCTTCAGTTTACGAGACTGCTGCTCTGCCCCTGAGATAATAAGGCATAACTGCTGCAACCGTGTGTTGATGATGAAAGTATAAAAGTGAGGTGACAAGCTACTATACAAACTTAGGAACATTTCAAGTAGTCTTTGTTTACCACAACCGCGTACTAATAATATGAAAAACAGTTTCATGTATGACGGGACACACCTTTGGAATTCTATTCCTAAAGAAACTAGAGAGAGCAAATCCTTTTCTTCCTTTGGAAAGAAAATCGCTACTCACATTGATTAATTAAAATTATTACTTAGATTGATACCTAATTGAAAATATATAAATCTATACCTGTAAATAGATTATTACTTATAGTTAATTTTGTTAGTTCATATAATACTATATATCTTATATAATTTTGCAAATAGTTTTTAAAATTATTCTCTGTATACTTTTTCGCACGCCCCTCGTCGAAATCAGCTTCGGTTGACGGGGTTAGTGTGATTAAATAAAGTTTTCTATCTATCTATCTATCTATCTATCCATCTATCTATCTATCTATCATTCTATCTATCTATCTAAAGATATTATTAACCCTGATTTGTCCCAGCTGGTTCTCCTGCGCCAAAGCACGAGCAGAAAATTTATTTTGCTGTAAGTCGCGCGCTTATAATTTGCTATAAATTGTTTCTTGTAAATCCCTTCTCCCCATCCTCCGCCATTCCAATGTTGATTTTTTCCCCCTCATCTTCTCATAACCCACATTAGTAGCGAACGTTGCATGTGGGGAGCGGGAAGATTAACCTTTTTACATGTAAACTATGAGTATCTGCATTGCTGATTGCTAGTCAGCATGGTAACGGTTAAATTTAAGAATTGGGATATATTTGTGACAATGACTACCCGAGAATGTGTTACTTGGAAACTTGGTCTTTACAGTACAGTACATATTATTTCATTTTTTTCTCTTTACATAGCATATATGAAAAAGAAATGTTCTTGACATAAAATTACCAAATCCGAGCGCGCATGGCAGCCGCAAGCGTGCTAAACGGACCCGTGAGTAGGTGACATGTAAGAATATTGTTCTGGGATGCACGACTTTTATCATAACACATATTGTCAATCTTTTTCCCTGCAAGTACAACGTGAGAAAACGTTATCAGTTTATCATTCAGAGGTAGTTAAATTTGATGTTTATAACATGAAGTGTAACAGTGCACCATGTATTGCTCCATGAGTCATAGGGTTATAATTTCGTTTCCATAATACATTTCGTTCTCAAACTTCATCCTCAGTGTTGAAATATGTTTTCATGTGCCTTTGTGCGTAAATAGTAAGCAAATAATCCAGTCAGTCTCAAAATCATCATTACCATCAAGTATTCAAGAACACCACGAAATTCCAAAAATACCAGCGAATCAGTTAAGCTGGGGAAGTCTCACATATAGATTTTGAGACTTTGGCAACAACACAAATAGTTATCGATATTTTGTTCTTATAGCACACATTTATGGAACTACGGTTTCCTATTGCGAATGAAGAAACTGGTGTTTTTATAAAGTCTTTTTTAATATTTTAATATACGATTCCGAAATACTTTTTTAATATACGATTCCGATCTCTTTTGAAGGCTGTCGAAAAAACGATCGAATTTTTAATGATGTTTTACAAACAAACCTCACAGCTGCAACCTTCTTCCCATCATCCCATGCCCCTCCTCCAAACGTCCATATGACAGTTCTCGTGGACAAAATCAATATGTGCGGCTTCTCCTAGTTTAGTGGAGTACCGTTCAAAATTCACTAAAATCGACTTGTGACAGATTAAAATTAAGCAGGTTCTTTCGAAACATAAAGATAAATTTCTGCAAAGGCTTAAAACGAAGTGGGAATTCTCAGCACCCAACTCATAACCGAAAATCTTCGGAGTAATGTACTGGGAAGGCCGAATTACTATAGATATGACCTAATGAACCTCAATTAAGCCATTCCCTGCATATTTCCCGATCATCATATTTCTATTAACGTACTTGTTTTCCACTTTTTCTCTTTCACCCTCCTCGTAGTTCAAAAACATTTGCCTAAACAAATACAAACGCTAAAAATACGTCAATTGTGACCAGATGCCTCATTAGCTCAGTGGTTAGAGCACTGGTCTTGTAAACCAGGGGTCCGGTGTTCAATTCTCTGATGGGACTTGTAGCAACGTACGTTTACTATTTTGATTTTTAGGAATAAAATCAAAACCGTGATTTATGTGAAAAAAGACAATCCTAAAATTTGAAGGTGCATATTTCTAAAATCAGAAATTTGGAATTACGGAATTTAGATGCCTGCAAAGGATTGTAAAATTTATGTTTACCTAATTTGTAGCTGAATAAATTATTGTCCCTTATCCACCGTGAACTAACCTCTAAAGTTGCTAAACTAAAGACAACTAATTTGAATCGAGCAATAATACGTCAAGAGAAATTCCACGGTTTCAAAACATTATGAAAAGGTTTGAGAAACCAATAATCAATATGCCTCATTAGCTCAGGGGATAGAGCACTGGTCTAGTAAACCAGGGGTCCAGAGTTCAAATCTCTGATGAGGCTCCTTTTTTAAAGCGAACTGGATGAAGGAGTTTGGAATTTTATTATCGCTAATAAGTATTTGGACGCAGCATGAATTTGATGAAATTTTCCAACGTTTTGTACTTCTGCGGCCTCAGTGCAGTAAAGCTAAATCCCAACAACTTTCTAAATTTCAAATCTGCAAACAAAGAAATTCCTAGAGCCTCATGAGAGATTTGAACTCACGACCTTCAGTTTACGAGACTGCTGCTCTGCCCCTGAGCTAATGAGGCATAAC